ATCAGTAATTCAAATTTAACATTTTTCCTACTATTTTTGTTTTTCACTCCATGCTTATGAAATCTAAGAACTTTTGTCTATGTATTTTTGTAATATGTAACTTGAATTCCAAATAAGATATATTCAGAATGAATATAATTTTCAAAATCACTTGCTCTGCATATAGCATTGATATTAGTTTTTCATTATTAAACTACTAGAGGCCCAGTGCATGAATTGGTGCATGGGTGGGGTCCGGCCGGGTGTCTGGATCGGGGGTGGGGCTGGCCGGGGGGAGAGGAAATGGGAGGTTGGCTGGCCAGCCCTGCCCCCTGGTCGAACTCCTGGTTGAGGGGACAATTTGCATATTAGCCTTTTATTATATAGGATTATGTGCTTGATGTTGAAGAAATTGAGGTGGGATAGATATAAATGAAGAGTAAATATGAAAACCTGTGCTCCTCCACGTCCATCCCCGGAGCTCACACTGTCTCCTTCTTGAATAGTCGAGGCGTTTTCAGCAGCTTTTCTCTGCAGAATGGGGACTGCGCTGTATTTCCCATGTGTGAACACTTGTGTGGTGTGATAGTGTCCAGTCAGGTGGTGTGTTACGTTCTAACTTTCAGTTATAAGCTCACTTGATAGATAATTACCTTGGTCACCCGGAAAGTGTATGGAGTCTTTAACCAGCAAGCACTTACTGAGAGTGACAATATTCTTGATATCTGGGTGAACCTGAGAAGTTTGAGAATTTTAAAGCAAAAGCTTTAAGAAATTATTTTCCGGTAACAAAACGGGAAAGAAATGTTATGGAAACCAACTGGAGGCTCTTTTCTGAAGGCAGGTGCAGACTAATTAATTTTTACAGCTTTATTGAGATAGGATATAAACTGTGTAATTTTAAAGTGTACCAAAACATGTATTCAGTGTAAGCAAAGCATGATGTTGATGTCATAAACTGCGGCTCTTGCTGACCTCTTTTTCAGGAATACAACCAGTTCTGTGTGATCCAGGAAGCGTCCAAAGCAAGCGAAGTTTTAGAAAACTTGACTCAGGGGAAGATGTGCTTAGTTCCTGGAAAAACGAGGAAGTTTGTGTTTAAATTTGTTGCAAAAACTGAAGATGTGGGAAAGAAAATTGAGGTTAGTTGTGAAATTTATTTAAGAGAGATTTTAAATGATACAAGTATATGTGTGTGCCAGAGAAAATTCAAGTGATACAGTGATACAGATGTTTATTAAGTAAGTAAGAAAGCCTGCCACTTGGACTTGCCAGGGGAACCATTCATAATGGCTTGGGGTTCCCTTTCACTGAGATACACTGTGTAGTATTCAGTGGTTGGCTTTTTTACTTAATAGCGTATGTTAGACGTCATTTCCTGTTAGTACATAAGACCAACCTTATTTTTTAATGGTGGCATAATCCCTTAAGGAATTGTAAACAAAACATATAATATAGCAATTGTATTTTGTATGATGTGACAATTCAGTCATTTTGATGTTTAAACATTGCTGATTACATATTTTAAAGATAAAAACGGAAGATATATATATGTTTTTATATATATGTGTGTGTATGTGTGTATATATATATACACACA